TGCCACAGGTGGCAGCGCTGGGAGACGTGGTTCAATTTCGCTCTGGGTCATAGCTTCACCGAACTTCATATTAAACTCTGTATTCTGTGCTTTGCCCTTTTCTTTTCTTTTAAAAAGGCTTTCTTCACAGTAGCTGGTGAGATACTCAGAGCTTTCTTTTCACACCTGCTTTGCTTTCCTTTGAGCTACTAGTGTACATATGGTGACAGGGAAGAGGAAGGGGCTGTGCCCACACCTACTGAGTGGGTACCCCAAAGAACGTCTTTTCATTTACTGCTCACAAACAGGTGGGGAAGGCATTGTCTTTATAGATGAGTGAACTGAGGCTGGGAGAGGATCAATGACTTACCCTTCATGCCAGGCCTCTCTGCTTAACGCCAGCTCTTTGCCTCGAGGTTTGCCTGTGTTCTTTTCCTTAAGAGTAAACTTGGGTTCTCAGAAGCACTCAGCTCAACCTTCTCCTGTGAAGTGACTTTCCTCAGCGCAGTCTTTAACATTTGCTTTCCCTGCGCTTACGGATACAAAGACCAAGACTGGGAGCTAAAGAGTGCTCAGTGTTTGTGACATTTCCGTGGGTCCACACCCCCCGCCACCTCCCCCCCCCCGCCCCGCCCCCGCCTTTTGCTTCTTATTCCCAAGAACTTGCAACACTGAAGGGTTAGCATCTAACTCCCTGATCTGGTGCTGCTTTTCTAAGATGCACCTATGAAAAAGAGGATTAATAGGTTGTATTTTGAAATTCAAATAAATTACTGTCTTAAAAATATCATGAGTCAGTACTGTTAGTTTTACAGTCTCTATTAACAAAAAAGACTTACTTTAACTTCATGAAAGGAACAATTGCAGCTCATATTCTTTATTAGATATATTCTTGAAGAGTAGATGAATAAAATTCTGTATTTTAAGTGACTTTTTATAAATTTTTAAAAAAACTTTGTTTATTTACTTCTTGGAGAGAAGGGAAGGGAGGGAAAAAGGGAGGGAGAGAAAGATCAACGTGTAAGAGGTACATTAATTGGTTACCTCTTGCATGCTCCCAACTGGGGAACCTGGCCTGCAACCCAGGCATGTGCCCTGACTGGGAATCGAACCTCCGACCTTTTGGTTCACAGGGTGGCACTCAATCCATTGAGGCACACCAGCCAGAGCATGTATTTTTAGTGGCTTTTTATTTTTTAAGGAACTTCTCACTTAAACAAAACAAGAACACCTTGTAGTGAATAGAATGATGACTATTTAACTTGATCTCTTTTGAAAAGCCAGTTTCATGAGGAAAATCTAAAGTATCATAGACATGTGACCCTTCTAGGAGAATATGGCATTTTATTCCATGTTTTATAATGGTCATGTGGTAAATACGATGAAGCCCCAGCAAACCACATTCGCCAAGCTTTTAACAGAGGACTTGCTAGCAGACTTCATGTCGATTCTGTTGTATGGTGGGATATTGTAATCCTTGCCCCCTCTGCCTTTCAAGGACAAAGCAGAGGAATTGGGCTTAAAATACGGCAGGGAGGTGGATTATGTTTAAGGTAGAACCCTGTTCCTTTCTGGATAGTTAAAAGGTGGGTGAGTGACACATGTTATGGATTCTCCAGGAGCCTAAACGTGGCAGGTAATTCACAGATTCTTAAAGTGTTAAGATCATCTTCTCTAACCCTCTTGTTACAGGTTAGTGTCAAACAGATCGTTTACCTGAGATAATTTAGGGGTTGCCCTTCCTAAGAGTAAGGAATGTCTTAAATGAGTGCCTGGAAGTTCTTTCCAGAAGCACAGCTCTGTGACCACACAGGTTCTGGGTGTCGATGCCATGAGCTTTTAATTTAGGTAAATGATGTGTGTGTCAAAGATGGAGGAAACGTGCTCCCAGCTCTGGAGGAGTTTGGAGTCAAAACGTGCTGTTGCCTACGCCGTGAATCAGCTTGGTATAGTGAAATAAGCGCGAAGGACTGCGGGAGTTCAGACAAGTCATCTCTGATGGGCAGGACCAGAGAGGTCCATTAAAAGGCAGTACGGCTTAAACTGAACCACAAGGAGGAGGAATGGTTGCAGTCTGTACAGCACCTGCATTGAGGGTTGCTTTTTTTTTTTAAATCTTTTGATTGTGAAGATTTTTGGCTATACAGAGAAACTAAAAGAATAGTGCCATGCATAGGACACCTACCACCTTGAGTCAATAACTGTTAACGTTTTGTCATACTTGTTTCAACTCACAATTTGTGTGTGTGCTTGTGTTGTGTTTTAGCCATGTGTTAGTGAGTTAGAGGCATGTGACATTTTCACCCCTAAATATACTTAATCGGCATCTCCGAAAGCCATTCTCCTACAGGACCTTAATTCTACCATCAAAACCGGAAGAAAGTGAACAATAATACATTCACATCTAATTCTTTTTCTCCATTTCAAATTTCTCCAATTGTATGTGTCTGTTATAGCTATTTGGTTAAGGGTCACACGTTGCATTTTGTTTTTTCTAACTCTTAAATCTCTTTTACTCTAGAGCAGCCCCTTCTAACCCTACCTATTCAATTTTTGATGCGTGACCTTACCCTTTGGAAGGACCAGACCAGTTTTATTATAACTTTTTTGTTGCTGCCTTACCAGGGAAGTTTCTAGCATATTGAAGATTTAAAACATTTTTAAAAACTTAAAGGGTCAGGCATTTTGTAGGGGACATCTTGCCAAGCTGTCAGATGTTGTTCCTGATACTCCATTTTCAGTAGCTAATGTACTTTCATCTTTATTTGCAAAAATAATATAAGGCAGTTGTAAAAATGTTAGAACTATTTAGAAATCTGTAAAGTATAAAGTGAGAGTTCTATTTAATAACACCCCTGTGTAGCCCTGAGATAAGAGTTAATCATTTTGGTGAACTACGTTCTTTCCCATTTGTGTGTGTTTTTGGTTTGTATATGAAAAGAACTATGATAGTCTGCGCACATTGTTCAGCAGCTTGCTTTTTATTTTTAACTAACTAACTGGGCGTTAAGGATGGAGTCCCACAGAATAGGTAGTAAGGGTTGTTTTCACCAGTGGCTGGGATAAACGTGCACCAAGCCAGCCACGTTCTTTCCCCGGTGTTTAAGAGGAGACACACCCAATTGTAAAAGCGCCTGGCCCAGGATTAGCTATGTGGCTTGTGCTCACAGAGCAAATATTTTCCTCAGTTTGAGGCTCCCTCGCTAATATAGGAATAGAGTCTTGGTGTTTTGTGCTCTGTGGTTCAACAAGTTGTGGGAATGTGTGAGTAGTAATCTCTTAAGGGCTCTGTATTTGAATTCTGGCTTTTCTTTTTGTCTTTTGGGGGGCGGATCCCTCCATATTCCTTTCTGTAGATATCACGAGATCATCAGATCGGTCTACCTTGGAGGTAAACACGATACTCTGCCAACATAAAGTCATTTAGAAACGTTAATATATTTTACCAAGCCGAAGTCTCTACCAGCATGTGTATTTTAAGCCATCGTAAAACATATACCTGTCATGCTCAGGAATGTGCTGAGGGCAGTCGTTAAAGACCGGCCGGGGGAGTGTGTTTTGCTGTGTCGTAGGGCTGTGCCCTGACAACTTGCACGAGGCCTGGGGTACCGATGTGGAGTGTTTGCTAAATATTGAAGCCACTTTATTTATTAATTCAAGAATACCTGCAAGTCATTATTCATATTGGTCCCTGCGAGTGTCAGGGGGCTCAGAGACAGTTCTGTGGATGAAGGGTTTGAGGGCCAGCTGAACCTGCCAGGCTTAGAGAGTCCAGTTAACAGAGCAGTCACGTGAACAGGAGAGGGTCCTTTGGCCTCGATGGACAGCAGAAAGGCAAAGGGAGAGGCCGTCTGGGCATTCTCGGCTTCTTTGGGAGATGCGAGCGCTCGGTGGGAGCATTGCAGGCTCTGGGTGGAATGGGAAGGCCCCTTTGCCGTTGTTATTTCATAGCTGTGTTCTCTGTGGCAAGAATGTCATCACTGGCATTTGGTGGGACACCAGGGTGTCAGGAAATCTTGTTATTAGTAAGTTAAATTATCTGTAATTTGGGGACAAGGCTTTTACATCAAGCATTTTGTAACAGAATGAAATGATGGCAGAGTGGTTCCCCATATCTAACTGTCTAAATATTTGGTAGAAAAAGGACAAGGAATTATAATTTCGAGCACATTAAAGAATTTATATATTTAAAAGTGTTTTAAAAAAGTTGCCCTGGCTCGGTTGGAGTGTCGTCCGGTACACCATAAGGTTGTGGGTTCGATTCCTGGCCAGGGTACATACGTAGGTTGTGTGGTCAATCGGGGAGTGCACGGGAGGCAACCAATCGATATTTCTCTCTCAAATCAATAAAAAACATTTCCTCAGGTGAGGATTAACAAAAGAAACTAGGAAGTTGCTGATGATTAAATGTCTATTTCCTCCATAGTCTGTTATTTATTCTAAGTAAATAAAGTAAACGAGAAAATAAGTACTAAAATACTACAATCAAAATAAAGGCAGATCATGCCGCTGAAAGTAAAGAGGCAGCGTTACTAAGAGTCAGGAGGAACAAGATAAGATTTTGATCAGTGAATCATTTGAATCAACAAACCTCCTTTTTTTCCCTCTTTAAAACAGGAATCATAAAGCTACAGCCTAGGGTTGTTCACGAGGTTGAAATGAGATAATATATGTTTAGAAGTTAAAAAAAAAACACAGTGTTCAGATTTCACTCTGATTGCTTTCTTGAGCAAACAGGATTGCAGATTGGAAAAGCATGCACGTTGAAGTCGCATAGACGGGTTTGGATTCTTTGCCGTGGAGGCTGCATTCTCAGACGAGTTCTTTTACTTTCTCTGAATCTCTTCAGTTATAAAGTGGATTTTTATCACCCTTGCAAGATAAGATAAAGTGTCTGGGTTCTCCCAAGCACATTGCTGGTTCTGGCATCGGGACGTTCATCTTGGCGAGGGAGAGGGCATGCCACACGTCCGGTAGCTTCCCTTCAGCGAATGACCTTGCTGTTGCTTTTCTGTTTGCAGCGATCCTGCAGAGTGCCACACCGGGCATGGACACCCTTTCCCGTGTCTGGAGGAGCACAGCTGCTAGTGCCATTGCCCGGTCCCGAAACTGCTAAGGCCATCTCAGGGGCGTGGGCGCCAGGATAGGAGGGCGGCATCCGAGGGCCACAGAGCCATGCCTTTCGGCCTGAAGCTCCGCCGGACGCGGCGCTACAACGTCCTGAGCAAGAACTGCTTCGTCACCCGGATCCGCCTGTTGGACAGCAATGTCATCGAGTGTACACTGTCCGTGGAGAGCACGGGGCAGGAGTGTCTGGAGGCTGTAGCCCAGAGGCTGGAGCTGCGGGAGGTAAGGGTGTGTGTATGTGTGTAGCATGCGTGAGCGAGAACTCACCCAGGGGACCGGCCACCTGTCTTGTGGCACCTGCCATGCTCTTTCTTCAGCCTCGGCCTTGTATTCAGAAGAATCCTATTGTACTTGAGTGCAGGCTTGATCTTACAACCTTCAGGGGAGACGAGCAGGATGCCACCCAGAGCTTTCACAGGGTGGCAGCCTCCCTTTGTTTTGGGCCGCTGAGGAGATGCTGGGGGAGTTGCAAATGAGAGGCTCTCCTCGCCAGAGCCATTCTCTGTCTTTAAAAGAGTCTTGAGTGGGTAGCCGGTGTGTTGGCATTCTTGCTGCGCGCCAAGGAGAGAACTCCCATCTGGGGGATGGATGCGGCTGCTTTTATTTTTGCTCGTTTGTTTCTATAGTTTCCTCTTCAAAGGGAAGAAAAAGAGAATAAGCATTTAGAGTGAGTGTGAGCAGTGAGGCTTTTTGTGGGAGCTTGGCAAATAAGGGTTGTGTTCCTTTTAAGATTCCTCCTGACTCTTGTTTTCTTTTTACTGTCTGTGAGACTTCTTTGGGCTTTATGCAAACGCAGCATTGACCAGAAAAGACAGCCATGCCTTCACTGTTTAGAGGAGATTCTTACTTAGGCCAATGTGTCCTTTCTAATAGGCAAGTCCTGTTTTTTTCAGTCTTACTGCCATTTCAGAGAAGAGTCATGGTGAGTAATCCATACAAGCATTGGTGTCTTGAGAGGCATGTGTCATGCCTGCTGGTCGATTAGGTGGTGTGGTGGCATGGTTGGAGCCATGTGTCATGCCTGCTGGTCGGTTAGGTGGTGTGGTGGAAGGGCTGCCAGTGCTGAAATGACTGTAGCTTCCTGAGATTCAAGCCTTACTGAGGACAGACAAAGCTTTGTCATTGTCCTGGGCCCTGTGACATTACTGTCTAAGACCTCAGGGTGATGGAGGAGAGGAGCGTGGTGTCTGTTGGAAGTGATTGATTGATGGCGCTTGATACCCTCATGATCCACCTTCTCTCCATGTGCACATAGGAACTGGGGCCTCAGAAGGTCTTCCTCTCCCCTTGGAGCCTTCCACAGACTGATTTTTAACCTCCGGGGGACTGTTCCACCTGAACACTTCTGTCTCCTGCTGGTCTTCATGTTTATATTCTGGTTTCAGAGCTCAGGTCTTCCTTTGAAGTTTATTTTCCTGTGTGGGCGACGGTCCTGCCCAGCAGAGCCCAGTGTAGCTCTGTGGCTGACACAATAGCATAAACGTGTTCTGGCCTTGCTGCTTGATGGCTGGCCCTTTTCTGCTTGTTAGTAGCTCATCTGGGGACACATTCCAGCACAGGTGTGCACATGGGCATGAAGGAAGAACCTTAATACTGTAGGTTGGTTGAGCAGGAGACTAATTTAAATTCTTGGAAAAATTTTAGTTGTAGATCATTTAAAAATATATGCAGTGGTTTAACTATTGAGTATTCCCAGCAACTCACATTAGAGTAACTGAGAACTCTTCACAGGCATTGGGAGGCATATATATAGAATGTGGTTAAGTAGTTGCAAGTGCAGGCATTGGAGTCTTGGACTCGAGTTCAGGTTGTAGTCCCGTTGCCTAGGCAACCTTGGAAAAGTTGCTGCACTTCTGAGCATCAGTTTGCTCACCTGGGAGTAACGGGAATAATGGCACTCACTTTACTTACCTTATGGGGCTGTTGTAAATATTAAAAGAGATACAGTAAGGAAAATGCATAGTGCTGTCTCTAATAATATGTAATTGTTCCAATTTGAGTCTTTTTCATTGAAGAAAATCTTCAGTAACTGCAGTGTTCAGGCACTGTTTTAAGGCCCAGGGAACTGGACCTTTGCAGATCCAAGGATGTGAAAAAGCAGGCTCATTCTGGGGACTGAAAAGCCACCTCTGCAGATCAGCAGGTAGAGCTGCAGTGCAAGGTGCAAGGTGAGGCGTGTCTGGAGATGTATATGGTAATAATTACTCCTAGCAGACTATTGTTTCTGGCAGCAAGAGGGCAAAGGTCAACCCCAGATTATCCCACAACTGTGTTGTCACAAAGGATAAAGCAGTGAAGCCCACATTTGCTGTCAAGTGTGTGTGGCAGTGTGTGACTGATCTTCTAATGCTAAGGTGTGGTTTGCATTTAGTGCCGGCTTTATTTGGATGTGCCCCAAACGGGTGCATCCACATTAGAGCAAATTACTTTCTTTTCTAATTGTATGCTTTTGTTCTGTGACAGGAGACATCGAAGGTATGGGCTTTTGTGAAACAATCTCATAGCTGCCTCTGAACAGCTGGGTGAGATAGAGCAGGCTAAGCATCCACACCTCAAGGAGGAATGCATTTTCCACCCAGAAGCCAAAGTAGGCGGGGGCGAACACCGGGTCTGCTCCGCGCACCGCACTGTGTACTGGGGTCAGTTTCCAAGCAGAGCTGATGGTGCTTGAGAGGAGAAAGTGGAGATCCATCTAAAAATAGAACAAAATGTTTAGTCTTGAAGAAGGCTTGGAAACCAGATTGCGGTGGATTTTTGGCTTTGCCATGAGAAGGGTCCAGTGGTTTAGGTGCACCTTAAACTTTATAATAGCTTTATGTTAGAAAAGGAAAATTGATTTTGATACAATTTTTGATCTACATTAATTACAATTTGTGTTTTGCCACTTAATTTTATTAGATAATTTTATTTTTTTAAAAGCGGTTCTAAGTTTACAACAAAATTGGGTGGAAAGCAGAGTTCCGTATACCTCCTCCCCGACCCGTTCCTAGCCATCCCCTCTACTATCAGTATCCCAAACCGCAGGAGAACATTTGTTACAGTTGATGAACCACGTTAATACATCATTATCCCCCCAAGTCCATAGTTTACATGAGGGTTCGTTCTTGGTGGTGTGCGTCATGTGCGTTCTGACAAATGTGTAACGACAAGTATCCGTATGATAAGCTTTCTGAGGGTCAGATCTGGTTTTGAATGCACTGATGTGCTGCCACTTCAAATGGCATCGAGAAGGTCCAGTAGCCTGGTTCCAAGGGCCAGCAATAGTCAAGCTCAGGGAAGCTGAATTTAATAGGGTCCCTGCTCCCAGAAACCCTAGAGTTTAGAGAATTAGGACAAACAAGCTACAGAGGGAACAGCCCGTGCCGAGGTACAGAAACAGGAAAGCATGTGGAATTTTCAGGGAGGGGCCGAGTTCAGTTTGCACTGGTCTGTTTGTGTGTGTGTGGAGGGGTCACGAAGGGTAGGAGAGTGGAAGAGCTGGCGGGAGTCTGCCTTTGAAGGTGGTAACGCATCTGGAGAGGGAATTGTAGCTGGGTCCTGAGGGTATTGTTTCCAGAATGTCTCACAAAAATAATTAAAGTAATTGCCACCTTTTAATGCACTTTTCATGTATCCATTCCCTGAATTCTCCTAACGCGTCTATAAGGTGGTTCTTCTTGCTGCCCCTATTTGAGGGATGTGGGACCACATTACAGAGAGACATGCCCGCTTTCACTGGTCTGGGTCAAACCCAGGCAGGCAGGCTGCACTGTGCTAATTCCCCGGGACGTGTGGCGGCAGAAAAGGGGCCGTGGTAAATGCTTTGGCAAACACCCTAGTAAGGTCTATAGATTTTTTTAAACAATGTGTTGAATTCAGTGGTTCACAGTTATTTTAGTTTTTTATTAAATACTCTTTGAATTGTTTGGGGATCAAAACTCTGCTGTGAGACAGGAAACCATTGAAGGATTTTAAGGCAGAGCCTGATGTGATCACCCTGTGTTTTCGGAAAAGAGCTGAACAGCAGAAAGGAATGAGGACGGAGACAGGAGGAGCAGAGATAGAGGCAGGTAGACACAGCAGTAACCCTGGCAAGGGGAGAGCAAATGAACTCCTTATGGAAATAATTCCTTTTAATTGTTTTAAGTTCAGAATAAAAATTGGTATGACTTTCTGGCAGGAAAAGATTTAAGAAACAGAGGCTCAGAAAGTTAGAACTCTGATAACATAGCTACAGCCTATTCGGATCAATGGACTTCACCCCTTACTTTCCCCCAAATGATATCTTTGGTGGCACGTTAATGTATAAAATGGAGCAGTTCTGTTTGCAGAGGGGATGGCTGCCTAGAGTTCCATTTCCTCGTGTCCCCACACACAGTTTGAAAAATCACTGACTGAGGTTAAGAGAGAAGGTGTTAAAAGCATTGCGGCCTTGTGACTGATTCTCCTATTTTAAAAACATGGAGAAGCCACAGAGGTCGGTGGCTGGGAATGTGAGCTTGGATCAAACCGCCCGGGTTTGCATCCTAACTCTGCCACTTACTAGCTGTGTCATCTGGGATGGTTACTTACCGGGTGCTTCCAGTTTCTTATCTGTAAATGGAGATGGTAATAGTAGCAACGTCCATGAGTTGTTGGGGTGATTAAATGAGGTAGTTGTCACACAACGTAACCATCCGTATTTCAGTGTGGTGGTCTCCTCCGCAGGACCCTGCGCTGTCTAGATCCCGCCACCGGAGCTTCGGGGACAGGGCTCTTCCCCTTTCACACGTCTGCTTGTTCCATTTTCAGACGGCTTTCGTCACTGCAAACTGTGATGGCACATGGAACCAAGTCTTTCAGTTACTTGAACAGTTATTCATTTAAGAGTGTGCTGGCCAACGTGATGGCCACTGGCCACATGTGGCCGCTGAGCACTTGAAATGCGCTAGTGTGAACTGGGACGTGCAGTAAGTGTGAAACAGCAGATTTTGAAGACCCAGTATGGAGAAAGAATTAAAATATTTCATTCATCATTTTTATGTTAGTTATGTGTTGGAAGTATCACATTTCAAATATATCATTTTAAATAAAATTTATTAAAATTAACTTCTTAAATATGTGGCTTACATTGTCTTTCTACTAATCAGTGCTAGTCTAAGAACAGCAGGGTAGCCATGCTAATAGTAATAAATAACATAAAGAATGACAATAAAATATAAAAATATGCTAGAATTACTTCCTTTAGGGATAATGTTGACTCT